ATCTATCAATGGCTGACATCATTAAAACATTGACCACCATTAGATAATTTATATGGTGACATGGATATGCCTCACTGAATGCAGATATGTCATGAAGAATTAATGATTTCACAGCTACAATGACAGATACCTTCTCTGAATTGCTTTGTAAATTGAGAGCAGTGTTTTAAAGTCAATGTTAAAACATTGCACTGGAGATGGAAATGTTGTATTTAATTAAATTTGGGTTATATTAATATGAACATTATGCTGTCAGGTTTTGTTATGAACAGTGGGACTGGAATATGTATCTAGTGGATATTTTATAATCATTATGCTGCCATTCCAGATGATTCAAGTATGACATTCTTGGAATTGGAACTTACTGTACTGTGTTGGTTTAATATTATTCATATGTCTAATTCTAATTTGTTAATGTAAGCATTCACAGTTTTCTATTGTGCTCCCTGTGTAACAAGTAGAAGAGCAGATCATAGGCAAACTCATCCAAATAAAAACTTTGTGATTTATTATTTACTATTTAATTTGAGCTCGTAACCTGAGCAAGATTGTCAAGCAAGTAGAACATATACGCTGAAAATGGACAATGCTCTAGTTGCGACACACTTTGAATACTGAACACATATCTTTGCACTTTAAAACTTTTGATTATACAAAACAGTTAGAGGATACCAAATGAATAGTGAAGTGTTTGCAAGTGAAGCACATGATAAAGGCATTAGAAAATTTGGCTGGGCTATATTGGAAAGATCTGGCTTAATATGTCATTAAAATTACTCCTCAAGCATGTATACTGTGTATTTGAGGATGGCTATTATAAAAATATTGACTTGGTTATACCTATCTGTGGAATTTAGAGGTGTCATGAGCTGCTGCCGTGGCTGGGCAGAGTTTTCAAGGAATTTAATCCTGTAGATTGTGGTTAGTAGTAAATAGTGAGATTATTACGGCCTGCTCTAAAATAAGGCAACATACCAATGCCAGGAGAAGGGGTGCTCAACTCCATGGAGACAAGTCACACAAATTGTAAGTTTTGTACACAATGAAGTCCTTTCAGTTTGTATGTTCGAGAGCAAATAAGTGTTATATGCATGAAATGAATTACATCACAAACTGGGAAATCTAAGTGTTGAAACAATCTTAGAGGCCTCTTCATGTGTCCGCACTTGGCCCGGGAAAGTAATGTAATTGCTTGTTATTGTAGACGACGTATCACTCAACTGTTTCATGCAACACTGCACTGCAGTGGCGACAATGTTCCAGTTCCAACCCATGAATAAGTTTGTTATGTGAAGAGCAGTGGTTAGAATTTCACACTGACAGCAATACTTACTGAAAATATTAAAACCTAGAAATCGGATGTATCTCTTTTATTTCTGATTAGCTGGTGCCAACTTACTTTAAAGACCCACATTGTCTTTACAAAATGGTAAGCAGATTTCTTTGATTTGACATTGAGAAATTGATGAAAAATTGTGCATGGTTTTATCACAATGACTATATATGTTGTGATTCCATCATGTTGTGACATTGAATGCCTATCACATGCAAACAAATGAAACACAAGTTGACAACCACACTCCTAAGGACACTGTCCTTTCAAATTCAGAGGTAATTATTGAGTTTTAATATATGCTCAAAGCTGTCTACCAGTCTGTCTTAAATTATTAATTATATTTATAATGCTTGCCATTTTTGAGCTCTGATAGTTCCAAGTAACAGGAAAAATGCTCAGCATAAAGCAGAATAATAAGAAAATGTTTAATTAAACCAAATATGTCATGGTCTATTAAATTAAATCATTAAAAATTTTATGAATGTACCATGGTAGAAGTCTGACAGCCAAACATGTTAGAAGCTTGTACCATCTCTCTATTTGTAGAGTTATATGCGCCTGGGTGATTTATGCTTGATTGTTACTCCAGTACAAATGTAATACTAGGAATTGCAACCATGTTGTTTGTGCCTTACTTCCAATATTAACAGTTGCCTTGAAATATTTGTTTACAAGGAGTTTGGTGATAAACCAATACAACACAGTATATACAAAATAATGGTAAAACTAGGCTTCCAATTTTGTTTGGTTTTTGCTTAATTAGACAAGTTTTCTAATAGCATCATGAAATTGATCTTATTTTCAAATCTCACTGCTTAAGGAAATATTTTTAAAGGACCTTGAAAAAGTATACATTTATCTCTATCTTAATTTGTATCTTAACCTAAATCATGGATAACAGAATCCTGATTTGTGGGTGTTTTCTATACATTAGAATTAACAATGAGCCATAACACATTGTGATTTCGTGTTGAAAGGGGTTCCTCACTTCCTACCTACATTGGAATTTCAGATTTCCTACTAAGATGTGAACTTCTATTTCTGACACTCACTTGTGTGTGCCATTCATTTCATTGAAAACTCATTCTGTTACTGCTGTACGTGCTTTCTCAATATTCGAGGTGACATTTTGGAACCATAACCTAGTGGAAGGTCAATGACCTTGGCAGAAGAGAGGAATAAACTTGAAGGGGCAAAGACAGACATTACAATGCATTCTGTCAATATTGGACAAAGAATTTCTCCAAATTCAAGATACTCTTTCTTTAAATAATTTATGACAGATTAGCATTTTAGTACATGTGTCTCTATTCAATAGAGACAGAATTTTCAGAATTTTCCAGGTTCAGCTTTTCAAAGGCTGGGCAGAGAAACTCAAATGGATGGGAAGCAAAAATTCAATTTCCCCAACAGTGGGTTACGTGTTGGTATTAAAGTCTCAGATCCTTTCAGGAAAATCAGGTTTCTCAACATTACATTGGAAACTTTATTTGAATTCATTGACATGTCCTGGTGACTTATTTACACCCCAGCCTACTGGAATTATGTTCTTCCACACAACCTGGTTAAGCATAATGGGAAACTGGGGTGTTCGTAAACCTGACTATGTATCAGATCTAAGCTCTGCTTTTCTGCCAACTTCAGTCATGTATAGTGGTAGACAATTAAACAACAAATAGAAAAGAAATTCCATAAATGACCCCATTTTCAATGATAGTTGAGGCGATCATGTCAGTAAAAAAAAGACAAGGCTGAAGAATTTGCATCCAACTTCAGCCAGAAGTGCCGAGTCAGTAATCCATCTTGGCCTTCTCCTGAAGTCCCCTGGATCACAGATGTCAATTTTCAGTCAATTTAATTTAATAACATCAGCCGGGATCACAGCAGTTGGAGCTCAACAGAGATTTATATTCACTGGATGTAAGAAGGATCTGTGCCTTTCCTTTTAAAAGAATGGATATGTGGTGGTTCTGGTCGTAAAACAGTTGCATTGTGGAAGATTTATTGCATGGAACTTGAAGATGGCTTTGAATGCTAAGAAGTTTTTGGAAGTGGAAGATGTAACATTGGATTATTTGAAAAAAATACTAAACTGAGATAATTCAGACTTCATGTAGAACTCATCTTTATATACTGTCTTATGCACTGAATTTTTGTTGGCCAGAGTGTGAAATCTGGAGGCAGAAAACACATAAAATGTTGTTAGTATCGCAAGCCGAGAACATTGCCTAAAATTTTGTTAATACGTTGATGCTTGATGTACAGCTGGGAGTAGTAGATTGGAGGCTTTCTTATTAAATGGCTTTAGATATTCAACCTGCCCTTCAGCATCTGCACATTCCCCTTGCTCCCTTGCAGCTTGGCAGCCTGTTCCTTGAAGAGGATCAGGATAACTAGGGTCAGGCATAACTAAATGATTTTAAAATTTAAACAGAGCTTGGCAGTTAACAGTCAGTCATCATTAACTAGTGCATTTACACTGGCAATGAAACTACTAATTAGAGTTCACCTGCTAGCCAATCAGCACTCTCCTATTTACTATTATGCCATAATCCTCTTGCAATAAAGTTCAACATATTGTTTGCCCAGCTAATTGATTGTTGCACCTGCATATTAACTTAGGAACAATGACAATCAGGTCCCTTTGGACATCAACATTTCCAAATCTCTCAACATTGAATAAATACTCTGTATTTCTGTTTTGCCTACCAAGGTGGATAAATTTAGATTTTTCCACATTAAATTCCATCTGCCACATTCTTGCTCACTCTTTTCCCCTGTCTAAATCCCCTTCAAAAATTTTTGCATCCTCCTCACAAGTTTCATTTCCACTTAGCTTTGGGTCATTAGCAAACTAAGAAAAATTACATTTGGTCCACATACCCAAAACAGCAATATAGATGTGACTAACAGGGTCCCAATCACCGATCCATTAGTCATAATCTATCAACTTGAGAATGATCTGGTCATGTTGACTCATTATTTTATTCTTTACATATGCAAAAATCACCACAGTCAAGTCAGCATAAGAGTCCCATTAGGCCTGAATTGAGTAAGAGAACTCATAGGTTGGAATCCAGCAGAGTGCACACCCTGAAAAGTCCAGCTACAGCTGGTATTGAAAATTAAATTGCTTAGCAACAGCCAAATCAGAACCAATCAAAATAAACACCTGGTTAAATAGTCACACAGTTCTAATGGAGGTCAATACTAGTGTGGCTTTATCACTGATTGTGGATCACTCTTTACCAAAATTCGCTCTGGACTCTAACCCTTAAGTTTGCGTAATACCTGGCCAAGTTGAGAACCAATACGGGTAATTGCTCAATATCTAAAAATCCATTACAATGTTTAATCTTTGAAAAGAAGAATTTTAAAATGAAATATTTTGGTTGATTCTGTTAAAATTAAACTACACTTACCAAACTACTAATGGCACGAATTCCATGCATGTTGTACTTGCAAAGGTACTGTTACAGATAACTCAGTTGAAGGCTACAGCTTCTCCACCTTTTTGAGGCATGATTTTCCACGTATCTTGTTACATCTGTGGGACAGGATAGGTTATAAGGGGAATACTGAGTAGCCCAGTCACTTTAAACTGTCTTAGGACAACACTATTTCATTTAATGGTGCTCTCTTCTCCCAGCTTAATTCAGACAAAATGTTGGCAGCACGAACTGGATCTTCAGGAACCAAACCTGATGAAATCTCCAAGTTAAGAAAATATTCTCTTAATTCTCTGAACAAGGAGAGGCGGAAGTTTTCTCTGGACATTAGAAATAGAACAGCAATCCAAATACGGCAGAGGTTTCAAAGATTGGCTATTGTACGTGCATTGGAAACAAACCAGTACCTGAAAGAATATGATTTATCACTTGAAGATACTGTAGCCTATCAGACTGGAATGGTTTACAGGTGAGCGAGGTTTTCATTAGCCAGACAAATACTAATACCAGCACATAAAATAAGTGACTTGTTTAAATTTAAGCGATGCAAGAACTGGTTTTGTCTAATAAATCTTTAAATATGGGAAATGGACCAATTCTGTTATAATTTAATTTTGGACGGTTAGTCCATATATTTTTATTTCAGTTGGAACAATTCTAATCGTTTGCACAGGGACACCTTATTTGATGCTGGCAATATGGTACTTTAACTTGCTCATTAGATTCCTTCTGTACAAAGACAGAAGGACAGATTGTAACTTGTTAAGATGTGAAATATGCTGATGTAAGAAATTGAATAAATTGTTTAAAATATAAATTGTTTAAAATATAACAAAAATAAATTGTTTCTCTAAAGTAACTGGTCGGACTGAAGGAGATGTTGTGAATTGGTGCTTTATTTTCTACCTAGGCTGAGACAGGCGACGAGATATGTTTAGTGTAATGTATTTCTAAATTACTGTTCTTGGTAGTGAAGAATTGAGATGGATTACTATGAGTTCTTTTGGGTCAGATGAGTGGCAATACTATTCCTGCTCACATTACCATACACACAACTTGCATTGCTGCTTTTATTATGTTGCTCATAAAGACTGAAGGGATTTTAAAGAAAGAATGTGAATTTCCAGTGATCAATGCAAGTAATCAAACAAGATGCCATGCTTTAATATTTTTACCATTACAAACAAACTAAGATCAACATCAGTAGACAACAAATACACCAAACTACAGAAAAGGTATCCCATGTTAACTTATTAACACAATTGAAAACCCCACACCACATATATAAATCACACTGCACTCAGATTTAGAGTTGGATATTTAGACTCCACCAGGAGTTAGAATGGAAATGGGTAGTGACAGAATTCCACTTTGTGCAGCTGATGTGATAGTTCCTCAGCTCTCTGCTTTATTCATTCACGGGATGAGGACATCGCTGGCTAGGCAGCATTTATTGCCCATCCCTAATTGCCCAGAATGCAGTTCAGAGTCAACCACATTGCTGCGGGTCTGGATTCACATATAGGCCAGACCAGGTAAGGATGGCAGTTTCTTTCCCTAAAGGACATTAGTGAACCAGATGGGTTTTTCCAACAATTGGCAATGGATTCACGGTCATCATTATATTTTTAATTCCAGATATTTTTATTGAATTCAAATTCCACCATCTGCTAATCGTCTAGGTCATTGTCTCTGCTGCTCCTAGGTCTTTTCCAGACACAGCAGAATTGGGGTGGGGAGGAGGGGGCTGCCAATTTATCTGGTTAATGGCTATGTAAGGCCAACTGTCAGAAACAAATTAAGATTTTTTTCACACAGACAGCAGGGTGAGAGTTTTGGTGCCAGAAAGTGACCTCTCAGCATCAAAATAAATTGAGTGTTTATGCTCTGGCCAATAATTAGCAATTTTTTGGGAAAATCACAGGCAAGTGACTGTTTCCCATATAGTACCAGTAACTGATCCTGATTTGAGCCAAGACAATCCTGTTCCATGGTTACATGATGATCATATTTAGGAAATAAATTTTGCAAGGTACACACTGCTTCAAAAACTATGGGAAGAAAGAAAAAAGAGACATAATAATTATGATAATAATTGATGGCAGAAGGACAATGGTATGAAGGGATCTTGGCTCACCAGATGAAAAAGTTGAATCAGAATGAGTTGAAAATAGGAATAACAAGAATCAGAAAAAGCTGATGGAAGTAATTTATAGGATCCCTAAGAATAGTTACGCTGTTGGACAGACAATTAAGCGAGAAATAATTAAAATTTGTAACAAAATAATAAGCATGAAGGACTTTAGTTTTCAGATGCTGTCAACAAATTACATTGGTAGTTTGGAAAATGAGTTTGTAGAATATGGAAGCAACTAGGGAATCTGTTTGAAATCTGGAATGGTGGAATAATTGGTTTATTAGTTATTTCCTTGTAAAAGATCTTCTGTGGAAAAGAAGCGATAATCCAATTGAATTTCACGTTATGTTTGAGGGTTACTTGATATAAAAACAAGAATCTTAAATTTAAACAAAGTCAAATATGAGGAGAGAACTATCTGAAGAGTATGATGGTAAATAAACATTAGAAAACATTTAAGGAAACAACTCAAAAAGCTCAACAAAATGTATTCTATTAAAATAAATCAGTGAGAAAGATCTGTCTGCGCCTTACAAAAGAAGCTAAGGATAGCATTACATTAAAAAAAGGCTTATTATTAGTCATAAAACTAAGGATTCAGAAGGATTTATAAAGCTGTAACAGGAAAACTGTAGAATATAATAGGAAACTAACTAGAAATGTAAAAATGGATTGCAAGAATTTTTACAAGTACATTGGAAAGCAGGAGATTAGTTAACAAACAGGTCCCTTAGTGACAGAGGCAGGAGAAATTATCAGGAGGATTGAGGATATGACAGATGTTGATGAAATATTTTTCATCAGTCTTCCCAATAAAAGAGACAATTTACATATTAGAAATAGAGGGTAATCAAAGAGCTAATAAGAAAAAGGAAATTAAAGAACTTAATATATGATCACTAATTGATTGAGGGACAAAAAGCAAAGAATAAAGGCAACATTTTTCAAGTTAGCAGGTCACAAGTAGCGAAGCGCCACAAGAATCAGTGCTGGAGCCTCTGTTATTTATAATCAATATTAATGACTTGAATGAAAAGACTTAGATTCAAGTTGGCTGACAATACAATTGTTACGACCTACTTAGGAAAGTGTTTTGGTTCTCAAACCTCATTACTCCTTGGGTCATCACAAAGTTAATGATCAAATCAACGTCTGAAAATCATAAATTTACCTGGCTGATGGATTTAGTTAAACAGAAAACAATGACCAGACTTCTGTACTTAAACAGAAACTAATGTTTATTACAAAACAAATAAGTTTTATCCATAGGTAAACAAAACTATGAATTGTTAACATGTAACTCAATAAGTGTTGGGAATTCCACAGGTTCACCACTTTCTGGGTGAAGGAATTTCTCTTCATCTCACTCGTAAATGTATCATTAGACTGTGACCTCTGGTTCTGGACTCCCCCATCATCAGGAACATCCTTCCCTGTCAGTTCTATGAGGATTTTATAGGTTTCTATGAGATCCCCCTTATTCTTTTGAACTCCAGTGAAAGTAATCCTAACCGATTCAACTTCTCCTCATATGTCAGATCTGCCAGTTCAGGAATCAGTCTGGTAAACCTTTGTTTGACTCCCTCTACAGCAAGAATATTCTTCTTCAGATAAGGAAACCAAAATTGCACACAATATTCCAATATTCTAACCAACACTTTCCATAATTGCAGCAAGACACCTCTACTCCTCCAATTGAATCCTCTGGCTATGAAGGTCAACATACCTTTTACCTTTTTTCACTGCCTGCTGTGCCTGCATGCTTACCTTCAGTGACTGGTGTATGAGGGCACTCTGGTCTCATTGCACTTTTCCCTTCTCTCAATTTATAAACATTCAGATAATAATGTGTTCCTGCTTTTACTCCCGAAGTATATAACCTTGTAATTATCCACATCATACTACATCTGCTAAGCATTTACCCACTCAATCAGCTTGTCCCAATCACACTGCAAAATTTCTGCATCCCCCTCATAGCTCATCCTCCCACCCAGCTTTGTGTTGTCTGCAAATCTGAAGATATTACATTTAGTTCCCTCATCTAAATCATTAATATATATTGTGAATAACTGGGGCCCTAGCACTGATTGCTGTGGTATTCTCACCAGTCACTGTCTGCTATTTGGTAAAAGACCTGTTTATTTCTATGTTTATTTCCTGTCTGCCAACAGTTTTCCATCCATCTCAATGCACAGTCCCCTGACCCATGTGTTCTAATTTTATATGCTAATCTCTTATGTGTGAATTTGTTGAAAGCCTTCTGAAAATGCAAATAAACAACACCCACTGGCACCTCCTCATTAACTCTACTGTTATATCCTTTAAGAATTCTGGAAGATTTGTTAAGCATAATTTCCCTTTCGTAAATCCATATTGACTCAGTCCAATCCTACTACTGTTTCCTCAGTGTTCTGCTATTAAATCTTTTATAATGGACGCTAGCATTTTTCCCACCACCAATGACAGGCTAACTGGTCTATACTTCCTAAGTTTCCCTCTACCCCTCTTATTAAGTAGAGGGGTCACATTTGCTACATCTAATCCATACAAACTATTGTAGAGTCTACAGAATCTTGAAAGATGACCACCAATGTATCCAGTATATCTAGGGTTACTTCCATAAGTACTTTGGAATGTAGATTATTGGGCTCTGGGGATTTATCCACCTTCAATCCGTTCAATTTCCCTAATACCATTTCCCTACTGAGATAACAAGGTGTAGAGCTGGATGAACACAGCAGGCCAAGCAGCATCAGAGGAGCAGGAGAGACTACATTTCAGGCCTAGACGCTTCTGATACTGCTTTCCTTCATTTTTTTCCTCTTACTAGATCCTGTGTGCTCCCACATTTCTGGTGTGTTAATTGTGTCCTCCTTTGTGAACACAGAACCAAAGTATCTATTTAGTTGGTCAGCTGTTTCTTTGCTTCCCACGATGAATTTCACTGTTTCTGATTGCAACAGACCTATATTTGGCTTCATTAATATTTATTTTTTTCACATAACTATAGAAATTTTTAAGGTCAGTTTTTATGTTCCTTACAATCTTACTCTCATGCTTTATTTTCTCTTCTTAATCAATCCCTCTGACCTCTTTTGCTAAATTCTAAACTGTTACCACTCCTCAACTCTGTTGTTTTTTTTTCTGGTCAATTTGTATGCTTCTTACTTTGATTTACTGTAAGCTGTGAGAAGATACAAAGAGGCTGCAGAGAAACATAGACATGTTAAATGCATGTGTAACAAGGTGGCAGGTTGAGTATGATGTGTGTGGTTATTTGCATCAGTAGGAAGAATAGAAAGTGTGTGAATCTTTGATATCTGACATTCAGA